CCGACATCTGGTGAAAATTTCATGTCATTAGCACCTCTAGTAATATATTTACTGAGAAAAATGGTGACGTGTTCAATACTTATTTTACCCGCTGTATATCATTTGTTACCACAAATAATCAACCAAATGCTATAAATATACAACTAATCTAAAACTGCTGCCAAGTGTAAAATGTACTGGTTGTTTTAGGATGAGTCAACTGTAGCCTCATTAACCGTTTACTCAGAGCGTCTCATCAGAAGCTACGTTTCCTCCTGGTTCATTATTTCATTTTATCGGGGGAGGCTCGCTGTAGCTGCAGGCTGTGTGACTCATCTGGGGTGATAAGGCTGCTGACATGCAAATCGTTCAAAACAGAGAGAAAATGTTCGTGGCTCTAGCTTTTGTTTTGTTCTGTCCTTTGGCACACTGTGGAATCTAACCCCAGAGTCTCAACATAATGTTTGTTTTTGCTTTGTTCCCGTCTTTTTGCATGTGTTTTAAATTATTATCTGCCAAACCTCTTGTCTTGCTTGCGCTTTATAAAGGGATAGCTCTGATCCTTTGAAGTGTAGATGGCTTTATGAACTACTTATTTTTGGAGAAATATAGCTGAATTCTGACCAAGTTAATGAGCTAATGGCTAGTCTGAGTAGAGCCAAACACAAACGTGGCCTCGGTGTTAGGATTGGAACTACTCCAATCACTTTATGTGAACTCAAACAATGTTATTCTGGCAGAAATATATTTCTGGGCTGCACCAGAAGTGCTACAATTAGCTGCTGCTGCTAACTCAAATCGCAAATAATCATAGAATCTATGCAAAGTTGCAGTCAGTGTAAAGCCTACATCTCACTGGGCTGCAGCTGTTAGAGGCTAGGCTAATTATAGGCACAAACTTCTGAGAAACTACACAAAACCAACATTGCATTTGAATCAAATCGCAAATGAAATTAGCAATCCAAAAAAGTTAAGTAGGTCCTCTGGACGGGTTCATTGTTAAAAACCTTTCATCTCTTCTTCAAGGGACTTCTTGCCTGATCCACCTTATTCCTAGCCCTCGTGACGCCTTGCGTGAATTATGGGAGCGACTTCTGGTGCAAGCTGGAACCACTGTTTGTTTATCTGTGAAAGTACGAGCTAACACAGTTTCTCTGAGCGTTGTGGATTTTAAGCTCAAACGAGACAATATTATTATAACGGCTGTGGTCGAGGAATGGAAGGACAACCACATGAAGAAGTGGCCTCGGATTACGTATAGTAGCATGTTTAGCTACTTCATTGACTCCGTGGCTTCTGTTATTTTGTTAAAAGAGGTGGGACACATTCAGGAATACCCCCAGGAATAAGGTGGACAAGCAGTACTTTCACAACTACATTAAAGGGATCCCTGATTAGTTGTAACATTAGACTTTATTTGATAAACATATATTTTAACTGTAAAATTAAGACTGTAAAAATACTGTAGGCTCTTTAATTTTGCAAATTTTTTAACTAAAAGTTTAAAAATATATTACACGGACGGGGCCATATTATTTACACACAAAGCATTCTGGGTAAATGATGACGTGGATAGGTCCTCGGTGRGAGGCTGCTAGCGAGCTATATCCACCCTGAAGGTTAATCTTGGACAATATCTGATGATCGACTCTTTTAAATGAAACCAGAGAGCGTTGACAGAGAGGAGAAGGTAGAAATGACTCAGCCTGTAATTGAAAATATGGATGGAGGACATCAGTTTAGCTTATTTGTTGCGCTAGCACCGAGCTAATACATACAAGGCAATATAGCGTCAGCGCTAGCGCAAAGYRTAACAGGCTAAGCTGAGGTTCTTCTTCCATGAAGCAGCTCTGTTGTCCTCCATCTTTATTTTCAGTTCCAGGCTGAGTCATTTCTACCTTCTCCTCTCTGTCAARGCTCTCTGGTTTCATTTAAAAGAGTCGATCATCAGATATTGTCCAAGATTAACCTTCAGGGTGGATAAAGCTCGCTCACACAGAGGACCTATCCACGTCATCATTTACCCAGAATGCTTTGTATGTAAATAAAATGGCTCTGTGCGTGTTAAAACATTTTTTTGAAAATTTACAAAACTAAACAGCCTACAGTATTTTTACAGTCTTTATTTTACAGTTTAAATATATATTTATCAAATAAAGTCTAATGTTACAACTAATCAGGGATCCCTTTAACAATGATAATCAAAACTGTTCACATGCAAAATAGGATCATCAGCCTAACTACTGATTGTTGGTGCCCTGATTGTCGCCTACTGTTCACAGAGGACTGAGCCATACTCGCAGTACCAGCATTGTAAGAGGGGGACAATTGGATATGTCATATGTATGACTCAGCCATCTGTGAAGAATAAGCTGTAATCAGAGCACTAGCAATCAGTAGTTAGGCTGATGGTCCTCTTTTAGTGTGAACAGTTTGATCGTCATCGTTAAGGTTCTTTGTACTGCCCATAAGGCTGAGTTCAGCTTTAACTCCTCAGACTGGAGAAGTCTCTTGGAGAAGAGAAGAAATGTTTCAACAAAGAAGAATCTGTCTTAAAAACCTAATAATTTTTTTAGATTTTTTTTAAATTAAACTATTGAGATGTATCAAGACAAAATTAGAAACATTTGTGCGACATTACTTCAAATGACGTTCAGGTTTTTTTTACACAGTTTATTCACTTCTGAGTTACAAATTGTTTTTTTTTTTCTTTTTGTGGCAAATCAATCCCAATTTAGTCTCTTAGATCACCAAATCCTCCCAAAGTTGTTGCATGTTTCCCAGAACCTAAACTCACAGGTGCTCACAGTGACTTTCTAATTACTTGGAAATAAAATTTGTCACGCAGATGTTTCCAACTGGTTCAAAATTTCAGTGAGATAAGAACAATGCGTCATGACTCACAACAGGAAATACTAATTACCCAGTCAGGTTTAGACTCTCCCGCAACTGCTGTTCACAATTTGTCACGAGCGGTTGAAGCCCAGTGAGATACAGGCTTAAAATTTTAGATAAAACGGTGTTTGCACAAAAATAACGTTTCAAATCCAGTTTGGTTTTGGCTCCACTTGGACAACGTGTTAGCTAACAAATCGAATTAAAATTAAACTATTTCTCTAGACTGAGGTTGTTCTAAATGATATCTGCAACAGGTAAGACGCTATTTGTTCATAACCTGTTCAGAGAACCTCACTTAAAAAGATCAGAACCATTCGTTTAATGTTTTTAGCTACACTCGGCAGGACGCTTATAAAAAGACAATGTGTGTTCTGTCTCCATTCAGCTCCAAAACCGCCAGCTTGGATCCCACAACAAGGTCAGGGCCACCGTGGCTCCGCTGCCCTCTGCCGCCCCCTCCTCCTCCTCCGCCTCGGGACCTCCTCCCGCTAAGGCCTCCCGTCCCGCCCTGAGCTTCCTCAGCAGCGGCAGGCGCCGGGCCCCGACCCCAACTCCAGGCGAAGAAGACAACGATGACAATGACTGTGTGCTTATACAGTAAGAACGATGTGCGGTGAGTGGAAAACACAGGAGGTCAGAGAGGAAGAGAGGACTCCACTTCAGAGGGGTTTCCCTGCATTTACAGGAAAACTTACTCACATGGACACAAATGATTAATTGGGCTCATTATAAACCTCAAACACAGTGTGAACTCGTTTATCAGCCAAACACTCAGGGTGGTTCATTCGTTACTTAGTCAAATTCACAAGTTTACATGTGTGTAAATGTGAAAGTGTAGTTAAAAAAGGGGAAAAGAAAAGAAAAGGAAAGTTTCAGCTCACCACCCTGCGTGTAGACTGCTGAGACAGCAAACCTGAAAATTGCGCCCCATAAACTGTAAAAAAAAAAAGATGAAAAGAAGGGAAACATCAGGACGAGCGTTTCCTACGGTAATGGCAAAAAAAAAAAGAACAAAAGTTGGCTGAGATCAGAGAAAGATTAAAGCACTTCCTGTGAGTGTATGTTAACAGCCACGTTTCAGTAAAACACACAAAGTAGTAAATTTTGGGCTTTAAAGAGGTCGACGCAAATAATTCAGGCATCAAACGGAGCGGTGGTGTGTAAGGACGTGTGTGTGTGTGTGTGTTCTTTTTTTCATTTTGCCCTTCGGCCTCAGTTTGAACGCAGCCTCACTGTTTTAATGAGCCGGAGAATAAAGCAGAGAACAGAAGAGACCCTCTCTGCTCGCTGTCACCCCCACACAAAGCTCCCGCTCCGGTGAACGCACGACAAGAATTGGTCAAACCCTCACCGCGGTTTCCAAAAAACAAAGGTTCATTTCAGTTCAGGGTTTTAATTTATTTTATTTTTGAAATGATTGGTTTAGTTGGGTCAGCGTTTTTTAAAAATGTACGCTTTTCCTTAGATTTAATGAGTCTCCCGCCATTCCGCCCCCCCCCCCGAAGTTGAACCCTGCTTCTTCTTCGGTGACGTCACCAAACTTCTGCGTCCACAAATTAAAAGCTCACAACGCTGCTTTTGTCTGAAAAGAGAACAAACCCTAAACACTTTCATCCACATCTCTCTCTTTCTCTTTTGCTTTTATTTTCTTTTTAACGCTCTGAGCCAGTTTTTTTTTAAAGGTCAAAAGGTGAGAGCAGGAGTTCCTCCGGGTGACCTTAACACTGTCAGACAAACTGAATGTCACAGACAGAAGTGGGCTGACACAATCAGCTGACAAAAGTGAATCCTTCATGTGACTTTAGCAGGCCGTGGCTCAAAGTAGCTGTAAAGTTCACAGTTTGTTGTTCTTTATGGTCTTTATCTGATATTTATCTCTGTTCTGATGTTTTTTTTGTGAGTTCTTTATTGTTTTAGCTGCAGAGGGAACCATTTGGGACACGTTTTCAGGACGACCTGTTCCGTCTTTTTGATATGTTTTGTGTTTGAACTGAACATCTGATTGTTTCATGCGACACGAGTCAAAATAAAACAACAACAGTGTGGGAGGTTTATCACAGTAACATTTGTGTAACGGCAAAGAAGCTACCTTTAACCGCCCACTGATGTTCCCACTTGTAGTTGCTGGAAAAATGTATTTATGTGTTTTTTGAAGATGAACTTGTTCCAAAGGTTCTGTCACAAACTCAGCTTGTGTTTTCAGCTGCTTCACAGATAAATAAAGCAGCTAAAAGGTTTTTCTGACACAAAGTTTGTTTCCTACTTTTGAGTTTTGATGCATTGTTTCCTGAGGATGCACCTTTGACCTTTCACCCCACCCCGTTGTCTCATTTTAGCAGACGTTTCTGTTTCTTAAAATATCACTTTGACTATCTTTTTAAACATTTTATTAAAGACCGTGTAAAGTAAAAATAAATGTGTGTTCTGAGGTTGTCACACCACAGAAATATGTGTTAATATCACCCAGCCAAGTCTGAACAATTAAAAATACTGTTAACCTTATAAAATTATGTATTAAAAGTAATTGAAAAACATCCGCTAGCTGTGATCTGGAATGCTGGGGGCGTGTCCTCTGGAGGAGCTCAAACCACGCCCACAACTCTGAACATTCCTGTAACCGAGAAAACAATGGGCCTCATGCAAGAACGGTTCGTACGCACAGATCTGTTCTTAAGTTGTGCGTACGAGTGATTTAGGAGAATTTGTGGCATTCACCAATGTTTTCGTATTCTAAGATTTTTTTCAGATACGAACAAAATTCACGAGTGGTCCAGACTTGTTGTGTATTTTACGAGCAGTCAGTCTGCTGTTATCCATATGGGTTTTTTCACTAATAACTTTATATTTCGTTAG